AAGCTCTTTCTTTCACACACTCCACGCGTGTGTTTCAAATGGCACCAAAGGCAGCGGCCCGGCCACCGTGCCCCGGGACCTCGGCCAGCACCTCAGCACTTGGCACTCACAGACCTCGAGGCTTCGGCACCAGCCAGGCAGACACCTGTCCTACCTGAAGGTCACGGGGGAGATCCTGCCCATGAGGGCGTAGGCCGTGACGCTCTGCAGGTGGAACAGGACGCCGTCCATCAGCAGCAGCAGCACCACGTCCTGCGTGTAGCTGAAGCTCCTCCCGCTCCTCCCGACCACCGGCAGGTCCTGCGTGCGGAGCAGAGCGGCGCAGCACGCCCGTCGGCCCGGTGCCCGTCACCGGAGGACCTTGTCCCACGTGCCCAGCCACCGGGGCCCACGAGCTGAGGCTGAGGCCGCTGTGAACCCTGCCTTCTGGGTGGCGACCGGACGGCATCGACCAGGCACGTGGCCAGTGGGCGCGAGGAGGAGGCATGGGGGGTGTGATAGGGGCATCGGGGGCGCGAGAAGGGAGCATGGGGGGTGCGATCGGGGCTCTCCGATGAGATGGGTCTCAGCCCCGGGCCGCAGTGAGGCTCGGTTGGCTCAGCCGTCAGGTCCGTGGCGGAGGCCGATGCCCGGCACATGCGCGGGTATGGCTTCCCCCGGGCTCTGCGTCTGGGGGCTTGAATCTCTGCGTCTGGGGGCTTGAATGGAAGTCTTTCTGTGTTTTGAGTGTAAAACCTTAGTGACGTTCCTAAGTGAAGCTCGCTCAGCGTGTGGGGGGTTGGGTCTGGGCTGCTCTTGCCTGAGGGGGACGCTCTCCTTGCTCCGCAGTCTGATGACCGCGACTCCAAGCGGGATTCCCTGGAGGAGGGGGAGCTGAGGGACCACCGCATGGAGATCACCATCCGGAACTCGCCCTACAGGAGGGAGGACTCCATGGAGGACCGGTGAGCGCAGGCGCCCGGCACTGGACAGAGGGACGCGGGGCCCAGTCGGCGGTCCTGGGGTTCACCATGGAAACGGCTCCAGCTTGGTGTCCGCGCCGCACCCCCTTCTTGTGGGAAGACCGTTTCCTCTCTGAGCCTTCAGTCGGCCCTGCACTCACAGGCCTGAGGACTCGGGCTGAGGTTTGCACAGGCCGAGCAGCGGGCTCCGGTCCGTGTTCCCACGCTGCTCCCGGTCCGCGTCTCCACCTGTGTCCTCCTCGGATCCCTCTAACTAAAGGCAACATGACCCGAAAAGAAGGTAGAACCGCAAAGGCTGTGACTCTCCCAAGATGGTGGTCAGAGAGGCGGTTGAAGATACTGTTAAATGACTTTGGGTTTGATTAAAACTGTGGGGCCTTTTTTAAACACAGCTTTATTGGGGTATAAATGACAGAATAAACTGCACATGTTTAAAACATGCAATGTGACAGTTCTACACGCAGTGTGGCCGTTTTACACGCAGTGTGACAGTTTTACACACAGTGACAGTTTTACACGCAGTGTGACAGTTTTACACACAGTGTGACAGTTTTACACGCAGTGTGGCCATTTTACACACGCAGTATGACCGTTTTACACGCAGTGTGACAGTTTTACACGCAGTGTGACCGTTTTACACGCAGTGTGACAGTTTTACACGCATGGGAAACTATTTCAAGATAAGGAACTTGTCCATCACCCCTAACGTTTCCTCAGGCATTTTTGTTCCGTATGCCACAGTGATTTCTCACACTTTCCATATGAGTCCATTTAGTTTACAGTCTTGGCTTAAGTTTCATCATTAACATAATTTTTAAATGATGGTTCCGATTCCATTTTATTGATAATCTGCGTTCTGCCTTCTGTGTTGGAGACGCTCCCTCACACCGGTGCTCTCCGTGACCTGCTCGGCGTGATGTGCCTCTTGTGTCTTATTTCAGAGGAGAGGAAGATGACTCCTTGGCTATCAAACCACCCCAGCAAATGTCACGGAAAGAAAAAGCTCATCACAGGAAAGATGAGAAGAGAAAAGAGAAACGTAGGCATCGTAGTCATTCAGCAGAAGGGGGTACAGAGCATTTTTCTTTTGTGTCGTGTTCAAGTGTGGTCTGTTTCCTAGTTCATAGCCTCCTGCCTTCTTCAGAAAACAGTGGAAAGAGACGGAGAGGAAGTGAAATTGTAGCTAAATATAAAGTTATTGTAAATCATTCTGAATAGCTATTTCATTTTCCTTTGGTCGTTCTTTTTCCTGACATGGCGTTGTTTTGTGGTAGTTTACATATAAAATTCACAAGCGTAAGGGGAAAGCACACTGTTCAGTGCTGAATTGCTGTAGCTAAAAAAGCCCAAACAGTGGCTTTGCTCTCACACCGTCACCCAGAGCTGCCGCCGGCCGTGGACAGCAGCCTGGCGTGAGGTAGGGCTCACTGTTCACACGCAGGTGATGAGCATAGTTGTGTGACTCGTAGAAACTCACCTAGCAGAGCTAAGCTTCGTCCTCTGTGCTTGATGAACGGTGACTTCTTAAATTATGTAAATAATATACAGTCTAATCATAGTTTATTCAATACAGAAAATTTTAAGAATACAGTGGAACCTCGTTTGTCCAATGTCTCCCATCTCGAATAATTTGCTTCTCAACCTGACAGCCCTTTCATGCTGGACCTGTATGATCAGTCTTGCATCTCTCAGGTGACAGAAGAGAATCTGTGAATATGGGTCAGTTTAACACTGTTACCATCTCAGGATATTGTGCTGTGAACATTTTTGTGGCTTTTTGCTTATGTTGCTGCTTATAATTGTTAATTTTTTTACTGTACATTTCCTTTTCTTTTAGTTAAATTTTCATTTACATTTCACATCCTTGTTTTTAGTGTTTTTTTTTAATAGATTAAACAGTACAATAGACATGTACTGTATGTAAGAAAGGTGAAAACGGCATCATTTGGGGGTCTGGAACGAATTAATTTACACGATTCCTAATGGGAAAAAATGATTGGGTTTTCAAGCAGCCTTCCAGAATGAATGAATGAAAAGTTCAGGAAGCGAGGTTCCACTGTATTAAGTAATCCCAGTCGTTGTTTATTTTTTCTTCGCTTTATATTTCCACATAAGTGTTAGCAAGGTATGTTTCTTCACGTGACACCTCTCTCTCTCTCTCTCTCTCTCTCTCTCTCTCTCTCTCTCTCTCTCTCTCTCTCGTTAGGCAAGCACGCCAGAGTGAAGGAGAAGGAGAGAGAGCATGAGCGCCGGAAGCGGCACCGAGAGGAGCAGGACAAGGCTCGCCGGGAGTGGGAGAGGCAGAAGAGGCGGGAGATGGCGAGAGAGCACTCCAGGAGAGAGAGGTAGTGGGCCTGCTTGTGAGGGGCTCTCGGTGCTTGTGATGGTCAGCGTCCCACCAAAGCCGTGAAAAAGCATCTAGAACAGACTTGTGCCCAGGTGGGGCGTGACATGGCCACAGCACAGTAGCTGTGGGTGTAAACTAGGGCCACTCTGCATTGAGGTCATTTCCAGAGAAAGCCTGGGAGGTGGCCTGCTGTGAGGCAAGGAAGCAGGTAGACGGGCCCCCATCCCGGCAGTCGGGCTGCACGGAGCAGGCATCTAAGGAAGGTGTGTGGGAAGAGCCTTGGTGGAGGGAGAAGCTGAGGCCAGGAGGTGAAGGTCTGAGACCACCGAGAGGCGAGCCATCCCTCGCCGTGTCTGGTGCGTGGGTAGCACGTGAAACATCCGTGTTGGCCATACCGATGCCGACTGTCCAGTGTGGGCTGATCGGACAGCCGTGCACACCCTACTGGAGCCAGGCTTGAAAATAAAAGGAACATGGAAAACAGCAGTAGCTACATTGCAAGGGAGACCGGGTTCACAGATTCAAACAAACAGCGACACCTGAGAGGACAAGTTAGAATCCAGAGTTGCTACAACATTATCTAAAATGTCCACTTTCAACAGAATGTTTTGAGATGTACAAGGAAATCGGAAAGTATGACTCCTGTTAAGGAAGAAAAGCATCAGTAGAAACTGTCCAGATGTAGCTTCTTGGCTTCAGAAGCGAGAGGAGGCAGTGAGGGAAGGCGGGTGGCAGACACCTGCTCTGAGGGGCAGAGCCTCAGCAACTGCAGGACGTTCCCGGTGACGGCCGCCCGGGCAGCGGAGGCCAAGGAGTGAAACTTCCCAAATCTGATGAGAATCGTCTAGATTTCCAAAAAGACCATGAACCCCCAAATACAGAAAGACGGAGTCTGTCTGGCGAGAGCCGGGGGGTGGCGGGGGGGGGAGGTCTTCAGAGGCAGCAGGAGAGACACGTCTGTCTCCACAGAAGAGGCGCGGGTCCCGGGAGGCTGGAGGCAGGATTGCATGTTCACACTGAGACTGTCCACGAGGACTGTGTCCCGCAGGACGGTTCTTCGGCAGGTGCCCGTGGACTGGTGGACCCCACTGCTAGCAGGGCCTGGAGTTACTCCAAGACCTTCAGCCGGATGGAAATGACTCCCTTCGGCAACAAACCCACAGGAAGAAAAGACAGGCACTGGGAGCGGTGGAAGTGTCAACGTGAAGGAACCGGTGTGTTTCTTCTCACCTCTGTTCTGCCAAAGACACGGATTGCAGAACAGTAATTACGCAGACACTCGTGCAGCATGGAACACGCAGAGGCTGCACAGAGGAGCAGGGGAGGGGCCTGGAGCCGTTGCTCTGTCTCACGGGAATGGACTTAGAGTTAATCTCGTGAGTTGCACCCAAGAGCCCTGGAACAGACCTGAGGAGTCAGCAGGATTACAGTGGCGCTAACGGCACTTAAGTCCAAGTCAGAGGAGCAGAGGAGCCAGAAGAAGACAGAAAACAAGGAGCAAAAAAACACAAGTCCAACCGTACCCATAGTTATATTAACGGGACATGGTCTCTGTACCCCAGACAACGGCAAGATTGTCAGAAAAGTAAGACCCAACTGTATGCTGCCTGCGAGGGGAACACCTTAGAGTCAGAGGCAAAAGTGGGTTGAACGTAAAAGGCTGGTGAGAGGCACACGGCGCAGACAGCACCACGGAGAGCTGCAGTGGCTCCCGGTGACAGAACAGAGGCCTCAGAACAGCAGGCTGCACGCGCACATCAGGGCAGAGGTGGGACAGCGGTCACGCTCTGCACCTGAGAGCCCAGGGTGCACAAGCCACGAACAGCTGGTCCCCGTTGGAAATGTGTCTGCTCGTCGTAGGACAGAAAGTCAGCCGGGTCATAGACGTCCTGGAAAATAACACCAACCACCCCCTCCCGCGGGCTCAGCCTCCCCCGCCGCTGCAGAGCACACTCGCTGCAGGAGCTCCTGGCACAGTTCCTAACAGGCTGTACGCAAGGCCATACAACAGACCTGGGACTTGAGAGAATTGGAAGCATAGCTAGCGTGCCCTCTCACCACGCAAGAATTAAGGTGGAAGTCAGCAACAAAGGGAAATCCCCAAACGTTTGGAAACCCAACAACCATTTCTGAATAACCTGTGGCCCGAAGAAGAAATTATATAAAAAAAATAGAAACTGTTGAGTGAAAACAAAAACCATGTCAGAACCCAGGGTGCAGCTGAAGCTGCCTCGAGGGAAAGCTGTGGCTCGAAGCACCGACGTCAGAAAAGGAAGGTGTAGCCGAGACCGGTTTGGCTCGGTGGATAGAGCGTCGGCCTGCGGACTGAAGGGTCCCGGGTTCGATTCCGGTCAAGGGCATGTACCTGGGTTGCGGGCACATCCCCAGTAGGAGATGTGCGGGAGGCAGCTGATCGATGTTTCTCTCTCATCGATGTTTCTAGCTCTCTATCTCTCTCCCTTCCTCTCTGTAAAAAATCAATAAAACATATTTAAAAAAAAAACAAAAAGAAAAAGAAAAGGAAGGTGTCCAGTCGGTCACCTAAGCGTCCACCTCAAAAAAACTAGGAAAGAGAAAAGCAAACAGCCAAAGCAGCCGCAGCAGAGAACGGTCCCAGAAATCCGAGCAGATGAGCAGGTCCGCGCGGTGGGGCCTGGCACGGGCGGGGGGGACGGAGGTTTTAGCACTGACTGTGGTGATGGCTGCACGACTTCAAAAGTGGATGAAAAAGTGGGTTCAGTGGTTGAATGTTGCATGTAACTTATACCTCAGCTTTACCGTGAACTAGGCTGGGCCCGGGCGGCCACAGAACGGCACCTGGAGTCCGGGGCCCTTTGTCCAGCCGCTCGGGTGGTGACGGGCCTTGACTGGTTCTCGCCGTGTTTTGCTTGTGCTCATTTTTGTGGGTGTCTGATGGGACTTTTTTATAAAGATGAGCTAGCTTTTTAGGTTGTGTGTGGACTTACGAGAGCTGTGGGAGTCGCCTGTGATCACGGCTCACTATCTGGCCGCCTTATGGTGCAGCCACCGCACGTATTTCGGTCACTAGTGTTTCCTGTGCTCAAATGGCACCTCGCATGGAAGCGGCTTTCCCCGGCTCCACCGTCACCCTGTAGCCTCGGAGACACACCCCGTGTGCAGGTGGAGGTAGCCAGGGCTGTGACACATGCTTGGGAGAGTCTTGGGGCGACCGGGAACGTGGAACATTCCAGAACCAGTGGGTTTGTTCCTAGCAGGCCTGCCTCCTTGTCCCATCTCTTCATTCGGCTGTGCTATTGGGGCGCGCCTCCCCAGCTTTTTGGGGAAGGAGCTGGCATGTGCTTGTTGCAGGGACCGCCTGGAGCAGCTGGAAAGGAAGCGGGAGCGGGAGCGCAAGCTGCGGGAGCAGCAGAAGGAGCAGCGGGAGCAGAAGGAGCGGGAGCGGCGTGCAGAGGAGCGGCGCAAGGAGCGGGAGGCGCGGAGGGAAGGTGCGCCTGCGGGTGGGGTGCTCCAGAGGCCCCGGGCGGTGGGCAGAGGGGGCCCGTCAGCAGTGGGTGGGGCTGCACCCCGGGGGCACCGCACACCTGGCGCTTGACAGCGTGTCCGTGTCCGGTGCCCCTGCTGCCCACAGGTGGGAGCACAGGCCTGAAGGGGTGATTCCCGATTTCTGATGGGTCTGGGGGGCCACCTGGATCCTCGGGGTCGGCTCCTGGCCCCCAGGTCGGAGCTTCTTCCCTTGGCTTCTGGCCTCTGCCCGGCTGCCATTAGCAAGTGTGTGTCTGGAGGTCGTGTCCGCCCTGCGCACACGTGGGCCGTCCCCTCAGCAAGGGTGCGGGTGATGGGTGGGGGGTGGCCCTGGTGGGAAGAGGCTGCTGCCAACACCGTCTCCTGTTCTATGCTGGCTGCCAGTTTCCGCGCATCACCGCGCCATGCGAGAGGACTACGGCGATAAAGGGAAGGCCAGCCACTGGAGCCGCAGCCCGCCCCGGCCTCCGCGGGAGAGGTTTGAGCTGGGAGACGGCCGGAAGCCAGGTGAGGCCGGCAGTGCCTGCTGGTGCCCCTGGTGTCGGTCTTTGACTTACAGAGTATTTCCCTGCACTCACCTTTGGTGGTTTTGCTTCATAAGTGAAAGAAGAGAAGATGGAAGAGAGAGACCTGCTGTCTGACCTACAAGACATCAGTGACAACGAGCGGAAGACCAGCTCGGCCGAGTCCTCCTCAGGTAGCCGCGCTCCCGGCCCAGCCCAGATGCCCTGCTGCTCGGGAGGGCCGCAGGTTCACTCCTGCTGTTTGCTGCCTACAGCGGAATCAGGGTCAGGTTCTGAGGAGGAGGAAGAGGAGGAGGAGGAGGAGGAGGAGGGGAGCAGCAGTGAAGAATCGGAGGAGGAGGAGGAGGAAGAGGAGGAGGAGGAGGAAGAAGAGGAGACCGGGAGCAACTCTGAGGACGCATCTGGACAGTCGGCAGGTGAGAGCCCAGGGCACGTGTGTGGTTTTTGTAACCCGTTTTATGTGTTTGCTAGGGGCCCGGAGCATGAAATTCGTGCATGGGTAGGTTCCCTAGGCCTGGCCAGCGATCAGGGCCCATCAGGGTGATGGGGGGGAGGTTTCGGGGGGAGGCGGGGGGTGCACCTGCCTTGGCTGGCCTGGGGCCTGCAGGCTGGGGGCAGCTCCTGCGTTGAGCGTCTGCCCCCTGGTGGTCAGTGCGGGTCATAGCGACCGGTTGTTCCACCTGTCTTTCCACTGTTTGGCCGATTTGCATATTAGGCTGTTATTATGGGATTTACTTATTATTCATTTGAGAGGGAAACATCAACTTGTTCCTCTTTATGCTTATTCTTGCATGTGCCATGACTGGGGTTCAAGCCTGCAACCTTGGTGTATGGGGTCAGTGCTCTAACCACTGACCACCCAGCCAGGGCACACAATTGTGTATTTGGATAGAGTCCTGGGAATGACAGAAAGATAATTAGAAGTCTAATTTGTTTTTTAAACTTTCGTTCTATTTATTTTTTTGTTAATCCTCACCCAAGGATATTTTTCCATTGATTTTTAGGGAGAGTGGAAGAGAGAGAGAATGACAGAGAGAAACATTGATGTGAGAGAAACACATCAATTGGTTGCCTCCTGCATGCTGCCCTGGGCCGGGGAGCAGCCTGAAACCAATTTACGTGCCCTTGACCAGAATCCGAACCCAGGACTCTGCAGTCCACAGGCCGATGCTCTATCCACCGGGCAAAGTCTGATTTTTTAAAAAACTTCCAAATGGAAAACGTCTCGTTGTCTGGGACTAACACGAGGCCCCTGGAAGGAGCAGACCCAGAGCCTGCGGGGGCATCCCAGGCGGGGGGGACACTGGGTGCACGCTGCTCTCTTGCAGAGGAGGTGAGCGAGGAAGAAATGAGTGAAGACGAAGAGCGAGAGGCTGAGAACCACATCCTCGTTGGTAAGAGGCCTCCCTGGCATCGTTTCTCTTCCTCATCCATCCCTAAGTGTGGTGAGAACTTCTCAAAAGTTGTGAGCATGACTATGGCAACGTATTCAAAAACCATTCTCCCAGGCATGCCGGGCCCCGAGGCCACCGGGCGTTCCTGTGCTGGCCTTGGCCCGGGGCCGGGCTGCCTGCTGAGACCTGGGCCCACGCAGCACCGCCTGCCTGCAGGGACCGCGCTAGCTGAGTGCCGTCCTGAGTGCCCTGGGGCTGGACAGCAGGAGGCAGGGCACTGCCAGCCCTGCCCGGCCTCAGCGTGGGGAGCGAGGTGACCAGCTCGGGTCTGCGGCTGGTGGGTACAGGCCACATGGGCCGGCCTGGCCGCAGGCAGCTAAGCTGCGCCCTTGGGCCTGGTGAGTTCCAGGGCTGCCTCCTCAGAGCTCAGCATCTGGTCAGTGGCTCGCAGTGGCTGTGGCCGTGGCCCGGCTGGCGGGCCCCAAGGCCCAGGTGCCCTCTGTCCAGGGGAGCAGCTCGTGTGGCAGGCACCCTGGGGTTGCTGCCGTGTGGCTTCTGGGTGTTCCCACCCCCAGACCAGGAAGGGGCTTGTGACGGTGGCTCATTCCCGGTTCCATGATTGGTTTAAACTTGGAAGTTCCAGAGTCACGATTCGACCGAGATTCCGCGGACAGCGAAGAAGGGGAGGAAGAGGTGGGCGAGGGCACCCCCCACAGCACCGCCCTGACCGAAGGCGAGTTCGTGCCCGACTCCCCAGCCCTGTCGCCATCGAGCTCAAGCAGGAGCTGCCCAAGTACCTGCCCGCCTGCAGGTCAGGCGCCCGCACGCTGCTCTTCACTGGTCGTGAGGGGCGGGGGGGCGAGCAGAGCGGGGCGGGGGTTTGTCCTGAGCGCAGTGACCATCACGAGCCGGGCTCTGGCGCACCGGCCTCCTTTGTGCCCTGGTCGTGTTAGCTCGGCCGAGTCCAAGGCTGCAAGCAGCCTGTGAGCAGCGCGGGAGCGGTCGAGTACTTCGGCTCCCATG